CAGCTGTATTATAAGAAAATGGAAGTGTTTGGGAACGACAGCAACTCAACCACGAAGTGGTAGGCCACGTAAACTGACGGAGCGGGGTCAGCGGATGCTGAAGCGCATAGTGCGAAGAGGTCGCCAACTTTCTGCAGAGTCAATCACTACAGACCTCCAAACTTCATGTGGCCTTCAGATTAGCTCAAGAACAGTGCGCAGAGAGCTTCATGGAATGGGTTTCCATGGTCGAGCAGCTGCATCCAAGCCATACATCACCAAGTGCAATGCAAAGCGTCGGATGCGGTGGTGTAAAGCACGCCGCCACTGGACTCTAGAGCAGTGGAGACGCGTTCTCTGGAGTGACGAATCGCGCTTCTCCATCTGGCAATCTGATGGACGGGTCTGGGTTTGGCGGTTGCCAGGAGAACGGTACTTGTCTGACTGCATTGTGCCAAGTGTAAAGTTTGGTGGAGGGGGGATTATGGTGTGGGGTTGTTTTTCAGGAGCTGGGCTTGGCCCCTTAGTTCCAGTGAAAGGAACTCTGAATGCTTCAGCATACCAAGACATTTTGGACAATTCCATGCTCCCAACTTTGTGGGAACAGTTTGGAGCTGGCCCCTTCCTCTTCCAACATGACTGTGCACCAGTGCACAAAGCAAGGTCCATAAAGACATGGATGACAGAGTCTGGTGTGGATGAACTTGACTGGCCTGCACAGAGTCCTGACCTCAACCCGATAGAACACCTTTGGGATGAATTAGAGCGGAGACTGAGAGCCAGGCCTTCTCGTCCAACATCAGTGTGCGACCTCACAAATGCGCTTCTGGAAGAATGGTCAAAAATTCCCATAAACACACTCCTAAACATTGTGGACAGCCTTCCCAGAAGAGTTGAAGCTGTTCTAGCTGCAAAGGGTGGACCGACGTCATATTGAACCCTATGGATTAGGAACGGGATGTCACTTAAGCTCATATGTGAGTCAAGGCAGGTGAGCAAATACTTTTGGCAATATAGTGTATAACATAATTTGCAAAGACACCATTAGCTCCTCTCACTATCCTCTGCAGGGCCTGATGGGAAAACAAACATGCATATATGCTTGTTTATTACCATTTGAAATACTTAGGTGCACAACAGCAATCCTGTAAATTTAAACATTTGCCAAGCTAAAAGGCTTCAGTGCTTTTACTGTTAATCTCCAACAAGTTTTCGTAAACTTGGCTTGTTTTACTCACTATTCCTACGTCTCTGTTTCTACACAGCAAGGGTTGAGAATCTACGGCCATCCTCGTCACTTCATCCTCATCTGTATGATGGCTGGAATGTCTGTGTCCATGTTCCTGTTCAGAGTCACAGTGACTGCTGACAGCTCAAAGGTAACGCTGGCATCTCTGAGGGTAGAAGCCAATGGCTGGAAGCTTGGAAATCTTCTTTTAGAAAGTAAGCCTGTATGAGCGATGCAAACAGAAACTCTTAAACAGAGCATGCATGAGGAGAAATAGCATCATGCATGCTCTCACATGTGTTGAAGAGGTGTTCCCTCTTAGAAGCAGGTACAGGGTTGCGCATGTGCATTTTTTTTTTTGTAAGTGAAGAGTTCTGGTCTTTTAAAAAAAGTGTGAAAATCTTCCATTATACCTTTAAATAATATGAAGTTTTGTAATTTCCAAGCTCTGGTAAATTCAGCAAAGACAAAACATTGACCAATGAAAGATGAGTTTGTATGGAAGCGGCACTCATTCACGTTTTATTGGCTATCAGCGCTCATACTACTAAGAGTTGTAACAGAAGAAAGTTTACATAATAATTCTTCTTTGGTGGCTAGCAGTGGGCAGAAAGAGCCACCACATGGAATAGGCAAACAAAGAAGAGATTTAAATCTGGCTTTTTTAAAAAGAGGATGTGATTATCAGGAAGCTCATTCATGATGACAACATGATATCAAGCTTGATATAATTGTTCCCTTTTCTGATGTGAGACATTTGCTGGATTTAAACCCCAACATGCTTTTCATTAGTCATTTGGTTTGTGTTACACTCTGAGAAACTCTGCTTAACATCTTTCATTGCTGTTTCTGCACTTGGACTCGCTACCGGCTACCTGATGAACTATATGTGGCTGAAACACAGCATCTTTAGTATATTTTGTCTAACTTTAGGATTTTATTTCTTCCACCTCATGAGAGTTGGTTTAAAACTTTACTTTATTTCTTCCAATGAAATCCCTATGTTATGTCCAAAATTAATATTTCCTGATCTAACTTTCAATTTTTATAAAAAGGCCCAGATGAAAAAGGCACATAGACCTTGGAATATTTCTGCCTTGTAATTTCTCTTTTTATATCCATTGAATTAGGATGTTGGTTTCTGTTATTGTCATAGAAATTAATAATGATTTTATTATTCACTTATTTCTTTTTTTAGATTACATTCAGCATTGTCAAGGCATTATAAGGCAGTTTCTAAAATGACTGAACTCATTGAAGTGGATGTAGTAACATATTTAACATCTTTAGTTTTTGTTAATTAAGTTAAAAACTAATATTTTCTACATCTTTCTTTAAAGAAATACCTCTGTAGTTATTGCATCAGCCTCATTATAGCTAAAAGGAAAATAATTTATATTCGTCAGCCCTGAATATTACATTTTCTTTTTCTGGAATAATCAAATTGTATGAAAAGTATATGAGAAGAATATGAGACCGTAACTTTTTATTTGCACTTCCAGCATGAATTTAAAATTGCTTTCACGCTGCACTTTGTTTCATTCGAGAGTGAAAATAATTTCTTTCCAAAGGTTTTTCGAATCTGTGGAACTGATAATTGTGGGTTAGATCAAATGTTGTCTCTAGATGTTTATATATAGCGAACTGTACATATTGCAATATTGGGCTTCAAACAAGGTGCCAGATTCTCAAGGATGCTTCAATAAAAAACACGTTTTTCCGATTTAAATCCCCTGAGATTCCCTTACTGGGATGTGGGCTCATCCCCCAACGTTTCCAGGTCAAGGGAAACGCACCTCGGCTGGATAATCACCCTTTTCTTTATGTACCTTCAGGTTTGGATACTCAGCTTGGGCGCTGCTTTCGGATTCTCCTCATATGGACCAATAGCATTGTTTGGAATATTAGCCAATGAAAGCGCTCCCTCCAACTACTGTGGGACGTCTCATGCCATCGTTGCCCTGATGGCCAACAGTAAGTGTGCAATGTTCTGATTGGAATTTCTTCCATTTGTTAACCATCCCCCCTTTACTCTGACACCCCTAAAACATTGGGCTTCTGCAGGTTCTAAAATAAATAAAGAAATAAGGAAATTATGAAAAATAAATATGTAAAATACCAATAATAGCCTAACCTGATACCAGCTATCTATCCTGCTACATATTACTTTGCCATTCACTATTTTAGGGTAATTTTTAGCTCTGGTCCAACCCCTACATGCAGACATTTTTTTATCAACTATTTAAATCCTTGTTTATTTTTTAGGCTCACCTCATTAAGGTTTACACCCTCGCAATAATGGAGTAGTCAGCAAAGTGAATGAATATTTAAGCTTTATTTTTCTAACATACAGTAAGCCTTTTCCTGGAGCTGGATTCTGTTCAGAGTTGTGAGAAAGGTTGGATATCTGGAGGTTGACAAGACCGATGGTTTCATTATCCTAAAAACCTGAAACTGTAAAGTTGGAATGACTTGTTGATGCTCATCTTCTCCATTACTCATATCTAGCCATAGCCGTCACAACCATAACAATGACGAAATGCTTTCCTATGTGGTATTTTGCACATATAAACAGTATTGAAACATGTCTTTAAATGTTTAAAAGTCAAAGTGAAAGACTGGCTTTAATGTGACACAAAATTAAGATCTGCTACAAACAGTAAGAGCAGGAAAGTTTGACAGCAGTTGATGCAAGGAGCATCCATCTTAAATGTGGAAGTCAGGTCTGGTTCCTTTCCTCCACTATTCAACTTAAGAATTCAAATTTTTGGGATCCTCTCTATTAAATTTTCCTACTCCGAGTTAAGAAACTATGACTGTGGAGAACAGAACGCACCAATACTGCTCCCCATACTGCTAGGTTTTGTAACGGAAAAATAGCAACCAAACTTGTGAAGGATGGAATAAAATAAAAAGTCAGTGGACTTGGTCTGTTAATGTTTGTAACGCCTAATTTAAGATATTTAAATTTAGTTTATTTAGAGAAAATGAAGCTTGGATATGCTGCATTGTGAAGCATGGTCTTGGCAGCAGTATGCTGTGGCAATGGCTGAAAAGTTATAAAAAAAATTTCAAGACTTCCCTAAAAATCTGTATTGACTTCAGATGCCCAATACAAATGCAGGCCACACTTTTCAGACTTTTTTCCCTGTATAACCATAAACACATTTTTCCATTCAGCTAATCATTAACTATGGGATCTGTTACCAAGAATCTCTTACATCAAGATTATGATGGCAACATAAAAATAAAAAAAGCTAGAAACTTATTTTGCCTCCATTGTTTTTTTTTATTGCTTTTATGCGTGTTTAAGTAGAAATCACTGTTGAACAAAATGTGTTTCACATGATCCAAGCTTAATGTCATCCATTGTTTTTCTCCTGCAGTTGGCGGCTTCCTGTCTGGATTACCCTTCAGCACCATCGCCAAGCACCATGGTTGGGAAACGGCTTTCTGGGTAGCAGAAATGACCTGCTTGGTCACCGCTGTTGGGTATTTCCTCTTGCGGAACATCCGAACCAAGATGGGTCGCCTGCCCAAGAAGGCAGACTAACGTCACACCTCAACCCTTCCAACTACAGATGTCAATATATTTTTCAGCATTTTAATACTCTAAGATTTCTGCTGTCAATCCATCAGGACACTAAAATTGGTCTTATTTTGTTTTTTACTGGTTCTAGTTGCTTCTTGATATTCAACATTGATGATACTGACAGATCCTGTTTTAATTGAGTGTGCATATTGCACAAGTGGATTCATTTCCCTGCTCAAAGACTATATTTTTACTACACAAAAGGATCCAAATGGTACATTTATTAAAAAGAAGTTTTAATGACAAATCATAAATGGAAAGTGCCAAAGATGTTATCTCTATTGCCCTTCATTTTTTTACACAGCTGATACTCAACCACCTGTCAATTCAAGAGACTAAAACACTAATAACTGACATTAAAACACATCCAGGCATTACAGTGTTTAGGATGTATTGTGTCAAGTATTTACACCACTTAATTTATATGTATACAGCCTTGATAAGAAGTCAGATTAAGAGTTTCAGACAAAAGAAATACAAAAAATGCACTGGTTTCCTTCCAGTTAATCATTTTATATACAATATGCTATGAGGAGGAATAAGCTCCAATCTGGTTTAGGACCCCGCTCCAAAGTTTCCAGCTTTCTCTGCAACCTCCAGCGCACTTTTCAGGTTCTGATCAAATAGTTCACACCTGGATCCAAACACAGGACAAAAATCAATTAATCAAACCTCAACAATTGATGCCAACAGGCAGTTTAGCCGTTATAAAATCTGAATCTGTTACTGTCCGTGTACCTGATGGGCATTTCCAGAGAATAGAACGGATTCTTCAGAGCAAAATCTGAGTAGATCTCGTAAATCTTCTTTAACAGGGCGTCGATACCGGACTGCCGAGGGTCTGCCAGCACAATAAATTTTATACCTGGGAGAGAAAAAGATGGAACAATCACATTACAAGCAATGATAGTGAGCTTTGATGGGAATGAAAGAAGGTATTAGCAAAATCTACTTTTCATTCAGGGTCCAGGATGGTGTATTTATTAATTCTCCAAAAAGGGCTTCAGAAATAGATGTTCTTGAGTAAAGAGTGGCCCCATAGTTACTGGTACCTATTGGAAAGATCTGTAGAGGTGCTGTAGTTTTTTTTTTTTATAAAGACCTGGTGAACCAAAGAAGACACTTTTTTTTGGTGCAGATTAGTTCCTCTTTACCAACCTGCTCAATGTACAGGGTGTGAAGATAAGTTTAGGTCAATTATTCTTGTTTTATTACGGTTCAATTCTTTAATTAAAGAAAATGAAATATTGACTGTTGATCTGGACAAGTTAATTTGCCTGTATCCTACCAGAACACAGTATTCCTTCTAAAAAGCTCCTGCAGCTGCCTCTCTGGTTACGCCATCACGCTGGTCTAGCGATGATGTCACCACTGCCACAGAAACCAATAAAGTAAACAATTGAGAGAAGCATGTAAGGAAGCCATGGCGTAATAAGTGTGCTTTATCGTTTTGCACTTTTGTCCCTCAAAATCCATCCAACCAGTGCTGCTCAATGTTTATCAAAGTAAACAGGAATGTTTCTGCTTGTTAGATTAGAAGCGACTGCCGCAGTGTGTTGACGTCCATATGTTGCGTTCCATGGTGACACATAATTTAGCGGGTCAACCCAGTTCTGGTGTTCCCACAGCATGCCGCCTAGGAGATTTTTACGCAGACTGATTGCTGAGTCGTTTGACCTAAGTAGACACACATCAGAGAGCTGTTCCCACTGCCACTAAAAGCCGAATGTTCCCGGGTTTAAACTAGTTTTTCGGCCAGTGGGAAAAGGCTATAAGAGTGACATGCATCATTCGCGTGTCGTCTTTATAACCCAGAGCAATTTCAAGTTCCTAAATAAGCTGACTAATTTAGAGTGGAAATAAAAGAAAACGACCACTACTGTGGCAATAATAATCCTACAGATAAACACCTCTTAAATCAAACATCTGATGTATTCTACATATTTTAGTTTGACATGTTGCTGCAATTAAAGACTCCTTTTCTGAAGGATTATACTCATCTTTAACAAAGGGGCCCTTAAATGTGGAGGGAGCTGAAGTCTTTTCTGTAATAATGAAGTTTGTGTTGGAGTATTTTCTGCTTTTCACATAAATATTATACAGTCCTCATACCTAAAAACCACTGATTGGGTTCCATATTGTTTTATTAGGCTGATTTAAATTTATGCATTTGGAAAACTTGACAATTTAGGACAAAGACAAACACACAAAAGAATGAATGTAAAGAAGTAGAAAGAATTTTAAATTCTAAACATACAATAATACAAGTTTCTGAGGCACAGCTCATGGTTGACTGGGATTTGTCTCCTAATGTGTTTAAAAACAGTTTACATAATGTTGTACGTAACTAGTACAATGTTCATTTCTGTACAATGGTGCTTTGTAACAATATCAACATAAATAGAAACAGCTACTCTATGAAGGTACCAACCTGTAAGCGTCTGAAAACAGTGGAGTTTGAAGACGTCGGTTTCCAGCATCTCGATACCTGAACTGCCGACTTCAGGAGACAGCTGTGAACCTATGGCAAACAACCTATGGAGAAATCCAACACAAAAGCAGGTTATTGTGAACATAACAATAAATGTACAGAGTCACACTAATAAAGCTAGGGAATTTTGTGACACTTTTATTACACAAGGTGAGGAAAAAACGCATTTTCTTTTAGAAATAATAGTCCTTTCAGTCCTAAAAGCTGTGTTAACTGATTATCAAAGCATAGGACGTAGTTTAATTGTAATTTACAAGCTAAAACTGAGAAATTAAAACGATAAAAACACACTCCTCTACCATTTGTTTCCTCTATCCAGATATAGAAATGGTCACATTCTTTTTAAAATAACTATTTGAGCAGAATGACTCAAATAATTTACTGAATCATTCTAATACAAGATATGCTTTATTTTAAACCATTCCTTCCAAACTCTGGCTGTGTGTTTAGCCCTAGACTCAAATCCTCTGCAGCCTCTAGCAGGTTTATTTCCAGTATTTGACCAGTGCTGAGCTCCAGATATCTTCCCATCAACTCTAACCAACATCCCTGTCTATATTAAACAGAAGCTTCCCCAATGTGCAATGCCTCCACAGTGTTTCACTGCGGTGCATTTAAGGTTCACCCAGGGAAGGTGGTGGGAGACAGGAAAGGCCGCGTTCCAGCACTCGACAGCGCCCTCAGTGACACGCTGCTGCTTCTTAAATCCATAAAGCTCCTTCTTCTGTATAACCATCATTGATCCCAACAATCTACATCCATGGTATTCTCTTTAAAAAATTTCACATTTTTTGTAGTCTGTTTTAGCACAAAAAGTACAGGTTGTACAACTTTTAACAGTGCCTTTATAAAACCTCTAAACTTATACAGTATCTATATCTAATTTTGCTTATTTTCAATACATGTGCTCTCCCTTATCCTTTTTCTTTCTACAAACAAATTATCATTATACTCTTCTATTCTCTGCATTGTTATTTTTCCACAACATATAACTTTTTCCATATCAAAAATGTAGGTTTTCCCGAATCTATCCCCCACAGACCTCATCAAAAAATGGTAACTTTCTCTCAAAAACGGAGACTCATAAAAACCTGATGGAGATGTGCACAACCCAACGTTAAATACCTTCAATCTGAGTTCATATATACCAACACATCCTTGTTCTATTATAATGAAACTAGAAAAGCACTCTGAGAGGCCATACCTCCACCAAACAGAAGTTTGGCCCCAGATCGTGACTTACGCCTAAAGCTAAACCTAGACTTAGACAGATTTTATTTCGTCAAAAAGAAATTTTGTTTAGAACAGCTCACTAGACAATTTTAGCAGCAGTGATAAATTAAAAAAAAACATTGTGATATTAAGTCGCAATATGTAGTTATGCTTCATGTTCCCTTGGCAGCAGTGATGTCAGACGGATCTGGAAAGGATCTTAGCATCCAAATGGGATTTTTCTAAAAACTTACACATGAAAAATAATGACACATTTCAGATGACCGCAACAATCAAACCCATTTAACCCTTTATAGGGCACTTAGTGTAATACTTTGAAAATCAAAATTTTAATCCAACAGTGTTATTGGAATGCAGGACAAGACATTTTTACCTTTGTAACATTAAAAAAATATGGATATTTTGATGGCAAAAATTTATATCAATGTAATAACAAGAAACACCATCTTGCCCGAATATATTAAGAAAAATAACAAATGTTCTTCTACAAGAAATTCATGAAAAACACTCTGAGTGAAAGAAACAAATTTTTTGGTCCAACATAACCTTAGAGACAATAATGCTGATAATGGCACTTATTATTATTATTTTTTTTACTTTAAATATAATTGTTAACTTTGCTTATTAACTTTTTCACTTTACTTTTTAACTTTTCAATTAGCTTTTATATCTTTTATTTTTTTATTGAATTGTTAACTTTTGCTTTTCAAGTTAATTTAAAGTAGGTAATATATCATTCAAGGGCTCATCTAATTGGTCAAATGCCAAAATAAGATGTACAGCCATGTAGCAGGTTCTTTGCTGAATGGCTGGATATAGAGCTTGGGCTTCTAGACCTCACTGGGGGATGTGGGGGCTCCATTTGTAAGGCAAGTGATCAAAACTGGTAACTTGCCCTATAAAGTGTTGATCCCAGAGTTACTTACGAATGAAACATGGAAGCTAGCATCAGCTTCTCGTTGGAGCTCAGGCGAGCCCGTCCGAACCGGATCGACACCGGATAATTTGCTGGGTCCTTTAAATATTCTAGGATGTCCTTTCCATCGGCTGTGTTTTTTCCGAGAACATCAACTCCATTGATAGACAGCACTGCGTGCCCCACTAAAAGAAAACGTTTGTAGTCACAAATAACGCTAAAACTTGACATGAAAGCTCCATTGGTGATGCTAACGTTACCTTTAATTCCGTCCCGTTGACCAAACGACACCACCACTTTTTCGTCGTGATGCTTAAGCACCAGGTCTAAAGGGTGGCTAAAAGTCTTCTCCACCTCAGTTCTCGGCACATAGTTGTCATACTGGTATATTAAACCTCCAGCCTTATTCACTACATAAACACTGAAAATCACCATCTTTGCAAGGTCCTACTTCCTCCCGCTGCTCTTCTTCTTCTTTCTGTTTTTTACTGACGGGTGACATCAAACGTTAAGACGTATTATCGCCATCTACCGTGCTGGAGTGTGGACCAAAGTATCCCCCTTTAATCTAAATTCTTGTAAATAATCCTGTTTCCTTATTAAAAAAAAAAAAAACTGTTTTATTTATTTTATGATTAACTAATATTTTATTAAGTTTTAATGTCTCTATATTTATATTTCCGATTTTCTTCTTTTAGCTTCTCTCTACTTAATGTATGCTTTTCTCAATGAATTATTACATGCTCTACTGTTTCCATACCCCTACCACTATCAAGTGTAGAGTTTTATTTAAACCAGTATGCCCAAGCCGCAATTCTGTCATTACTACTCTTTTGTCCTCCCATTGGTCACGTGAACCGGCCAAGATTATGAGAAAATATTTAATAATTTTATTTTACTGTAATTATAATTAATCTAAACGTAAATTGAATAACATATTTACCCAATTCACATAAAATGTATTTTTTTTTATCTTTGGTGCGATGTGTGATAAAAAAAAAAATAAAAAAAAAAGACCATAAAAGACTACAAAACTCCAGCTCCCAGAATTCCCTCCGTCCCTTCCGCACATACGGGTTGCCTAAGGGACTCTTGCACGGGTGGACTTCCTTTCGCTCCGACATCTTGACGAGGAAACATGGTGAGGCTCTGGATTACACGTTTTACTTAAGAAAACTAAGCCTTTGTCGGATTTCACTGCGCGTGTTTATGCCTTATATTATTCGGAATGACTCCATTGATCAATGAAGGTCAATCGTTTCGTTCAGAATGGGCAGAAGGTCTCATAATTGATACAATTTTGCGTGCTTAGCAGCGGGTTAGCTAGTTGCTAGTCCCACCATGCTTTCAGCTAAACTGTCCGACAGAAAACGAGCTGTGGAGATTTTTACACAAGTTCGTGCTGTTATGTAAATATCGAAACACTTCATAGACACGAAATTGCATTTTAGCACTTCTTATGATACTGTGCGGAGGGAAACGACAGCTTTGGTTATTTAGTCAGCGAAGACAAGGCCGTAATAACAGACTGATCCCTTCTAATTTTGCTCTGATCGAGACACTCATCAGTCACCAATGATTTTCTCAGTCTCCCATAAAGCCACATTAACACAGATTTAGAATAACATGGCATGAATAAGTATTTACCCTTAAAATAAGGCAAAGCCTTCAACATAGTTTACAGTCAAGTTATACATTCACATATAAATTCTCCATCATGACACGTGAAATGCAAACTTCTGACCTAAGAGATTAATTTTCGTTGTTAATAGTAAATTTCCTCATTTAGGTTTTGCAAAGTATACTTAGACAAGTGTTTTGACAAGCATAAAACTGAAATCTTGTATGCTTATTGTAATATCAGTTCAAATATAATTCAATCAGTTATCAATAATTGTTTCAGGCCTTAAAATGTCTATTTTTTACTTTTGAAAATAAACTGATTCCCTCTTGGTCCAAACGTTTGTCTAGAAATAATTCCACTTTTCTAAACTAATTAACCTAATAACTTGCAGTGTTCATACCAAATACTATATTCTAATAACAGATCACATTGTTTTATACTATTTGTTACTAAATTAACTTGACACATCAAGATCCTCCTTTCTTTGTGACAAGAGCTGGTTTTTGAGTCTTTCAGTATTTCCTGTAAGAGATATGTAACTATACACAATTTGAGATGAATTTCAAATATCCTGTTGTAATTATCCTGATTTTAATCAAAAGTAGAACAAGCCTTTATGTATAAAAGACTCTTCTTGAGCAGAAATATTTGAGATGATTAAAGATGATTTGTTCTTCTCTTAAAACAGCAATGTTTCTTCATAAATAAAGTCCTTTGCTTAACACATTTTTCATAGAAATCAGGGACCTGAAATTTTGTGGATATCATTTTAACTTGATGCTCTTTGTTTCCAGCCTCCTAAGCAGGACAAGAAAAAGGACGCAGGGAAGTCCAAGAAGGACAAGGACCCAGTCAACAAGTCTGGAGGCAAAGCCAAGAAGAAGGTGGGGATTAGTCACCTTTCATCACAACTTTTAACAAGTTTTGTTCCTATCTAACACAGTGCCTGTGCTTTTGAGCAGAAGTGGTCCAAGGGAAAAGTGAGGGACAAGCTCAACAACTTGGTCCTCTTCGACAAGGCAACCTACGACAAGTTGTACAAAGAAGTTCCCAACTACAAGCTCATCACCCCCGCCGTTGTGTCGGAAAGGCTGAAGATCCGTGGATCTCTCGCCAGGAACGCCCTTCAGGAGCTGCTCTCCAAAGGTAAACCCAACCCTTGCAATTAGATTTATTCCAATATATCTGGAACAAAAAGGACGGGATCTGAACAGTAGCAGCGAGCTTAATTTTAAGAAAAATCTTTCTTTTAAACGGGTGGTAAAGTTTCCTTTCTTTCGTTTCTGCAGTTAACAGCAGAGGATGTATACATTTAAATGTCATTTTCTATGAATTATTTTAGCTATTTAAACTTAAAGTGTCATTAAATATTCTAATGTCTTAAAATGTAATTATTTGAATTTTAGGCTTTAACTAGTCTAAAATATATTCAACATTTTGTCTGCTTTTGTTTTAAATATATAATCAGCCTTATTAAGCAGTTCAAAACTTTCCTGTACCTTCATCTCCTACAGCCTCTTTCAACCTGGGGAACGTTATATTATTTTAATACTTTACTAAAGTATTTTATTCTAACTTGAGCGTTTAATTTTTTTTATTTCTTCTCAAATAAAAATAAACCCAACATCAATATGATGCCAGTAAGGTATCAAATACAAAATAAAATCATACTATAAATCTGGAGCTCATTTGAGTATCTCTCCTATAATCACGTTTAAACTTGAATTGGGGACAAAATACGGAACAAAAATTGTAGTTGGACTGTATTTGTTTTGCATTTTCAACATTCATGACACCGGAGCTGCTTTGAAGAGCTCAGATGTGGGTTAACGGCTGATACCAGGCTGTTCTATAAATCCTGTTCCTCTACTTGGTTTTGATGCGTGTCAAAGCTAAGGGTGAACTAAAACATTTAAGAAAAAAAAACTTTCTCTTTAGTTGAAGAAAGCCTTTAAAAAATGTTTTAATAGAACAGATTTCAGTCCCATTTTATTATATTACCTGAGAAATAAAATATTTGCATATACCCCTAACAATGGACTTGCAGACCACTAGGGGTTTGCAGTGGTGAAAACTGGAAAAAACCCTAAAACACTGAAGTCATTTGAAAAATTAGAGATAAGAAGTGAAGTTGATATTTTCCACCTCCATAACTGAAGTTATTACAGTAAGTTGGTTAGATTTTATTTGGTCCATAGCGTGACTTAGTTCGTGAAGTTCTTGTTTTTTACTTCAATATATGGTTTGAAATGTTTTAAATGAGCATTTCTGAGACTTGTGGAAACACTGTCTCTGCCTCTCAAGGAACGTTCATCGGGGATTTATGTTGTTAATGGGGCTTAGTATGCTCAGAGATGAAGATGGCGCTAAATTGAATTTACTGAAAGGCAATAAAAGTTTCTCCAAACTAAAATATTATGAGGCAACTTTCCATAAGCAATGATCAGCACTGCTCATCGGCTCTGTCATGTCTACGATACGTGATCATTCATGTTTCCAATTATCTTTTTTCCCATTGGAGACAATTTGACCTCCTCTAGAGTTATGTGGAATGCTTGATGGAATAAGTTTTACACTGTGAATGTGATTTATCTTTAACTTTAAATAAGTCACTTTTTTCTCTCCTTATCCTAAGGTTTCTTGGTTCTATAGAGAGACCTGTAGTCTAACCAGTAAATCATCTGCATCATTTAATATGCATCTACCTTTGTCGCTTCATGACATGAATATTTGTCGTTTTACAGCCGGAGGGAAATGGTGGTCACATTGACCTGCACACACCTGCCACAATCAACTTTATGAGTCATTTAAATCTGCCACCTTAAAACTTGGGGGTCATACTGACTGGTGCAGCTCTTCAATCTGCTGCCTGTAGAGAAATGAAGCTTATCTGGATTTCTGTATTGAAATGCGTTGGCTGGCTTCGTTGTGCTGTTCTTTTTACATCTCTTTGCAGGTGATGAAGCCGAGAAGACGTTTTATCGTTTCCCTTTATCGCCTCTTTCTGAAATATTTTCTCCTTTTTCCAGTTTTCCCATTCCTGTATTACTTGCATTGCAGTGTCCATATAATCTGTAGTACTCCTGCATAATTATAATAAAGCTGTTTACATGAATAAATTAAGCAGAACACTATGGCGATAGCTGTACTGCTCCACTTGAAAGAGAAAAATCTGGGCTCTTTTTTTTAAAGGTGTTCCGTTTTGTCTTGTAGGCATGATCAAACTGGTGTCCAAACACAGAGCTCAGCTGATTTACACACGTAACACCAAGGGTGGAGATGAGGAGGCGGCCGCAGAGAAAGCATAAACAGGTAGAGGGAAGGTCTACTTCCCCACATCTCTTCTGTTGTATGGTTTGATTTTTGTAATTCTAATTGGTTTTCTTTTTTCGTCCTTTACAACAGGTTCTCCTGTGTTGTGAGCTGTTCATGAAAGGTGTAATAAAAATGTAAAGACAAAAGTGGTTTTGTCCTGTTTTAAACTAAATTAGATTTTCTCCAAAGTATGTTTGATTCATCCATCACACCACACATTTACATGTTAGCTTTAGTAAATAATGATATGCAAATAGTTATACTTGTATGCACATGTGAACATCCACTAGAAGTAATGCAGCAGTTGAGAAAAGCCTCTAAAAGAGATTTAGAAAAAATAGGAAAAAGGTTTTATTCCTTTTTGACACTTAAATGATTTGGTTTGATCAATAACGTATTTTATTTAGCATATCTATTCTGTAGATTCAAATAGATTTGGTGTGCTGCTGCTAACCCAGTTTATTCAAACTGTTGGCTTCCAATATTCAGTTTTGTACAAATGTTTCAACTTATTTGTGATGCATTGTCTACCTTTTTTGAGCAACAG